ATGGTGGCATACTTTGGGTCATTTTTGAATGAATGAGCTCAGCTGGGCTATTACTAGAATACCTAAATCTGGAGACCTATCCATTTTATTTTTGAAGTGGAGTCTTACTCTGTTGCCAGGCTGGAATGCAATGGCGTGATCTTGGCTCACTGCAACCTCCAACTCCCAGGTTCAAACAATTCTCCTGCCTCAGCCTCCCGAGTAGTTGGGATTATAGGCACCTGCCACCAAGCCCAGCTAAAGTTTGTATTTTTTGTAGAGACAGGGTTTCACCATGTTGGTCAGGCTGGTCTTGATCTCCTGACCTCATGATCCCCCCTGCTTCGGCCTCCCAAAGTGCTGGCATTACAGATGTGAGTCACTGTGCCCGGCTGAGACCTATCCGTTTTAATTCTAAGTAACATCCTTGTATTATTTCTTTGATAATTTTTCTCCCTTTTCTTCCTCTTATCTCTAGAACTCCTATTCGTTGGATATTCATTCTCTGATCTTATTGTCTGTGTTATTTTGGAGGTTTTATGGGGCTAATAGAAAAAGCACCTTTGTTTTTCCTCTTAAGTTTGAAATCCATTGAGAATCAAGACACAGTAGAGACATGAGTGGATATCAAGATGTTGGCATAATTGCTGATAAGCAACAAGGAGGATTTGATTTAAAATATTAGATCAAAATACCTTGAGTTAAGCAGATGCTTTCACCCAGGCACAGGCAGAGTTGGGCAAAGCAGGAGCAGTTCTATGTGGCAGGCAGAGAGTAGAATACAAGGCGTGCTCCTTGTGGGCAGAAAGATACCAAAGGGAGCACCCCCCAAGGGGCGGAGCCAAGCATGCCAATCAGTCAGTCTCCTCCCCTGAGGAGGAGTGGGTTAAGAAGGGGAGTCTGTGCTGGGCGTGGTGGCTGATGCCTGTAATCCCAGAACTTTGGGAGGCCAAGGAGGGCAAATCACCTGAGGTCGGGAGTTTGAGACCAGCCTGGCCAACATGGGGATACCCCCATCTCTACTAAAAATACAAAAATTAGCTGGGTGTGGTGGAGTGTGCCTGTAACTCAGGAGGCTGACGCAGGGGAATCGCTTGAACTCAGGAGGCGGAGGTTGCAGTGAGCCGAGATTGCACCATTGCACTCCAGCCTGGGCAGCAAGGGGGAAACTCGGTCTCCAAAAAAAAAAAAAAAAAAAAAAAAAAAAAAAAAGGTTGGGGGGAGTCTGGAGATTGTGTAGAGTTTCCCTAGTGGGAAATATATTCGATAGCCTGAGACCAGAGAAAAAAATTTCTTCCAATTTAACTGTTTTATCATTAAAAAAAATCTATGGCTTTTTTTTTTCCTGGAAGATTTTCTAAATTTTATATTTCATAGCATTATTCATTTTTTGGAGTTAACAATATATATACTTTTAATTTTCAAAAGGTCTCGTTTTCTGAACAAGTAGAACATACAGGAAATTCTGGCTTATCAACAAAGTGAATTCAGGAAAGCCCATAGAAAAACGGGTAAAGGGTATGAAAAGGTAATTCATGCAAGAGGAAACCCAAATGATTAATAAATCGATGAAGATATGTTCAAACCCACTGTTAGCCAGAAATGCAAAATAAAAGAACAAGATATGGCATCAGCTTGGCAACAACTGGGATGTTAATAACATCAAGTGACAAAGCCGAAAAGAGAACCCTCATCTACTGCTGGTGGGAACGTGGACTGGCAGAGTCATTCTGGAAAACAGTCTGGCAGCCCGCAGTGGAATTAGGTATGCTAATACTCTGACCCAGCAATACCATTCTTAGCTCCCTCCCTCCCTCCTTCCCTCCCTCCCTTCCATTCTTCTCTTTGTCTTTCTCTCCCTCTTTCCTTTCTCTCTTTCTTTCTCTCTTTCTTTTCTTTTCTTTCTTCTCTCCCTTCCCTTCCTTTCTTTCTCTCTCTTTCTCTTCCTTTTCTTTTCTTTTTTGGGTCCTGCTGTTGCCCAGGCTGGAATGCTGTTGTGTGATCACAGTCCCCTGTGGCCTTGAGCTCCTGGCCTCAAGTGATCCTCCCCACTCCAACTTCCCAAGGTGTTGGGATTACAGGCATGAGCCACCACACCTGACCTGGATACAGTTTCCAGAGAGATTCTCACCCAGGTGCACATGGGAACACGATGAGGACATTAGTCATAGTGTTAATTGCGGTAGTTGTTTGCAACAACCCAGATTCATCATTAGGGGAAATAAAGTATGATAGCTACACACCCCTATTTCTCTCTCTTTCTTTTTTTTTTTTTTTGAGATGGAGTTTTTCCTCTTGTCACCTAGGCTGGAGTGCAATGGCATGATCTTGGCTCACTGCAACCTCCACCTCCCGGATTCAAGTGATTCTCCCGTCTCTACCTCCCAATAGCTGGGACTATAGGCACCTGGCACCACGCCCAGCTAAGTTTTGTATTTTTGGTAGAGATGGATTTGGCCAGGCTGGTCTTGAACTCCTGACTCCAGGTGATCTGCCCACCTCGGCCCTATAAAGGGCTGGGATTACAGGTGTGAGCCACTGTGCCCGGCCTATTTTCCCCTCTTAACTCCATTTCGCTTTTCCAGTTTCTCTACCCACCTGGGCCTCCACCTAGAGCAAGTTGCCTCATCTCTCCGAGGCTCCACTTCCTCCCCTGTGAAATGGGAATAATGAAAGTCCCTGCCTCATCGAGGCGTGTGATACATGAGAAAACACCTTGGAGAATTTAGGGCAGTGTCAGTGTTTGTGTTGCCTGGGCCGGGCTCTCTGAAGTTGGATTCCTCCTGCTGCAGGGAGAACTGTTTTTCTGCAAAGCCCCTTTCTCCTCCTGCTGCAGCTTCTAGATTTGAGGGACTTTACTCCCCAGGAGAGTGAAGTGAGCTGGGCTGGAACTGAGAGTCTGGTGGCCGAGCCCACAGGAAGCTGGGGTCTGTGGCTCAGATGCAGGATTGGGCAAGAGCAGAGAACTGGTTCCTGGGATCCTGGTCAGGGATATTTGGAGACACCCACAGTTCCGGGAAATTCAGAGGCAGGAAGTGAAAGGGGGAGGGAGAGAGGGAAAATAGAAAACTGTACCCCAGTTCCTCCTGGCCTGTCACCCCTTCCAAATGGTGCAGTGAGTGAGGTGACTGGTGTGTAGAGGTGAGGAGGGCAGCCCAGGGGACCCCCTTCTCTGGGGATAAGAACAGAGATGGCCCTGTCCCCTGCCCCCACTCTCCAGGTGAGTTACAGCTGTGTTTCCTCCTGTGTTTACTGTCCAAAGTCCCAGGCCAGGAGGTCCCAGGTTAGAGCTGGGACACCCAGACATTCGGGTGCAGGCCTTGCCCGGACCAGCCCCTCCTCCACTCTCCTTCTCCTCCTTGAGTGCCACCTGCCCCAGTTCTCCTGGCTTTAACCCCTCCTTACCCAAGGCCAGGGCTGCCTGTGGGAACCAGGTGTCTGCTCTCCACACCTTTAGCAGGTAACTGAGGCTGGGGAGGCAGCTGGGACGGGGGTGTTTGGGAACAAGGAGAACTTGGTTCAGGGGCGGTGAGGACCCTGCGGGAAACTGCTGGGTGGTCTGGTCCATGAGTGTGTGGAGAGGTCTCCTGGCCAGGTCAAGGCCCCAGTGGTCTCCTGAGAAGGGACAGGAACCAGCAGGATTTCAAACTTCAGCCCAAACCGCCTGCCAACCTCAGATCCAACCCAGGCCACCACCCCACCCCTCAGTCCCTGCCCTCCATCCCAGCATCCGCCTCCACGTGAATCTGCACCTCTGCCCCAGCCCCCAGAGCAACTCCAGTCCAGTCTAGCTCCAGCCCGGGCCCATCATGGCCAAGGACTTCCAAGACATCCAGCAGCTGAGCTCGGAGGAAAATGACCATCCCTTCCAGCGAGGTGAGGGGCCAGGCACTCACGGGCTGAATCCCAGGAGAGAACATCCATTTTGGAAAGGCAAGTGTGCAGTTTCTGCGGCGTTACTCCACTCTGTCGCGGCTCATGATGGCTCTGGCCCTTTGAGGTCTCTGCCGCATCCACTCTGAACAGGGACTGAGGCGGGCCCAACACCCCTGCTTGCCCCCGACCTCACCTTCCTTTCTACACCAGGACCCCAGGAAAGGTGTGTGCCCAGAGGTGTGGGGGGATCTGGAAGATAACCTGCTGCCCTTCTCCCAACCCAAGAACACATGTGCCCGGTGTGTGCATGTGCACGTATGTGCATATGAGGAGTGCAGATTCAGCTAGGACTCTGTGTGTGTGTGTATCTTGTGCATGTGTGAGCGTGCATATGTTGTGTGTGTGTTGTATGTTGTGTATGTTCTGTGAGTATATGTGTTGTGTGAATGTATATTGTGTGTATATTGTGTGTGTGTGTATGTGTGATTTTGTGTGTGTTGTGTGTGATTTTGTGTGTGTGTGTGTGTGTGTGTGTGTGTTTGTAGAGGTGGGGTGAGTTGGGGGAAATAGGCACAGAGAGATCCTAGAAGCTTCCTGCTCCCCCCGTCTCCCAAGACCCCTTCTCTGGATCCTTCTCTAGTAAATCTCGACTGAAAGACTTAGGTGTCTTGGAAATGTTTTTTTAGATGGGAGTATTGTGGCAGGATCATAGCTCACTGCAGCCTCAAACTCCTGGGTTCAAGCCATCCTCCCACCTCAGCCTCCCAAGTAGCTAGGACTACAGGTGTGCACCACTGTGCCCAGCTAATTAAAATTTTTTCTAGAGATGGGGTCTTGCTGTGTTGCCCAGGCTGGTGGGAAAAGACTTTAAGGTGAGGAAGAGATCTGAGCAGTTCTAGGCAGAAGGCAAGAGCCAGGGATGGAGGAGTGTCAGGTGTGTGGGTACGGGTGGCGGAGCCAGGTTCCATGGAGGCAGGAGGGGCAGGGGCTTGGAGCTTACGAAGGGGATTGGTTAGCTGGGCTGGGAGGAGGGGCTCCTCATTCCTAAGGCTGGCGAACCAACTGAGGGAGGGCTGGTGCTGGGCTGGGCAGGGCAGGGCAGGGCAGGGGACAGGAGGGATAGGTGGTGCTTCCCAGGACCACTCGGGAACAGCAGCAGCATCTCCTCTCCCTATAGTGGACTGGCAGGACCTCCCACCAGGCAGGGGCCCCAAGGCAGAGGCCCTGTCAGCCTCACTCTCCTCTGCAACTCCAGTGTCCGCACGGCGCCCAGTACATAGTGAACACTCAGAAAGCATATTGGATGCTGCCGAGTCTTCTGAGGGTGAGAGAATTTAGAGTTTGAGCAGGAGGCTTGGAGAGAGGCCAGGATTTCTGAAGTTAATGGGAGCGCGAGCTCACTCTGATGGACTGAGAGACACCAGTGAGGGGCCTGTCTGAAGGGCTGTGGCCAAGTCCCTGCGTTTCTCTCCAGCAGCCTGGGTGGTGGGGGCTAGGGGAATGTCGTCATATGAGCTGAAAAAGGTGAAGGGCTGTGGGAGTCACTTTCAGGGGCAGTGTCTGACTCAGGACAGCGACCTGGGGAGGAAGATTCTGGGCCCCTGACTCAGTCTCCCCAGTATGTGGTGGTGCTGGGCAGGGTGACAGAAATGAGAAGACAGGGTAGTCCACAGTCAGTGTCCAAGGCCAAGAAGAGCAGGCGTTCTGTTTGCGGGTGGATGCTGCAAAGCCAGGAGCTCGGGGCTGGGGGCACTGGCGTTGAACTGGAGGCAGCAGAGGGGGAGCCCAGCTCTGTGTGCAGGAGGACGTGAGTGCGCAAGTGTACGTGTGTGGGTGTGTCAGAAGTTGTGTGCATGTGTGTGGGAGGGCGTATGAATGTGTGTATTAGCATATGTGTGCACATGTGAGTGTGTACAAGAGAACCTGTGTTCATGAGTGTGTGCAAATGTGTGTTTTTGAGTGAAGCAAGAATGTGTGTGTGAGGGTATGTGAATGTGTGTGTGTGTTTGTGAGGGTATTTGAATGTGTGTGTGTGAGTTTGTGAGGGTATGTGAGCGTGTGTGTGTGAGTATGAGGGTATGTGAATTGTGTGTGTTTGTGAGGGTATGTGAGCATGTGTGTGAATTTATGAGCATATGTGAATTGTGTGTGTGTGTTTGTGAGGGTGTGTGTGAGTTTATGAGGGTATGTGTGTGTGTGTGGGCATGTGAGTGTGTGTCAGTTTGTGAGGGTATGTGAATGTGTGAGTTTGTGAGAATATGTGAATGTGTATGTGAGTGTGTGTGAGTTTGTGAGGGTATATGTGTGAGTGTGTGTATGTTTGTGAGTGTGTATGTGTTTGTGAGGGTATGTGAGTGTGTGTGAGTGTGTGTGTTTGTGAGGGTGTGTGTGTGAGGGTATGTGAATGTGTGTGAGTGTGTTTGTGAGGGTGTGTGTGTGAGGGTATGTGAATGTGTGTGTTTGTGAGGGTGTGTGAGTTTGTGAGGGTATGTGAATGTGTGTGTGTCAGTTTATGAGGGTATGTGAGTGTGTGTGTGTGAGGGTGTGTGTGGGTCTGTGAATGTGTATGAGCTTGTGAGGATATGTGAATGTGTCTGAGTTTGTGAGAGTATGTGAGTGTGTGAGTGTGTGTTTGTGAGGGTATGTGGGTGTGTTTGTGAGGGTATGTGAGTGTGTGTGTGTGTGAGTTTGTGAGGGTATGTGGGTGTGTGTGTTTGTGAGGGTATGTGAGTGTGAGTATCTGAGTGTGAGTGTGTGTTTGTGAGGGTGAGTGTGTGTGTGTTTGTGAGGGTTTGTGTGTGTGTGTGTTTGTGAGGGTATGTGGGTGTGTGTGAGTTTGTGAGGGTATGTGAGTGTGTGTGAGTTTGTGAGGGTATGTGAGTGTGTGTGTGTGAGTTTGTGAGGGTATGTGGGTGTGTGTGAGTTTGTGAGGGTATGTGAGTGTGTGAGTGAGTTTGTGAGGTATGTGGGTGTGTGTGAGTTTGTGAGGGTGTGTGTGTGTGAGTTTTTGAGGGTGTGTGTGTGTTTGTGAGGGTATGTGGGTGTGTGTGTTTGTGAGGGTATGTGGGTGTGTTTGTGAGGGTATGTGAGTGTGTGTATTTGTGAGGGTATGTGAGTGTGTGTGAGGGTATGTGAGTGTGTGAGTGTGAGTTTGTGAGGGTATGTGGGTATGTGTGTTTGTGAGGGTATGTGAGTGTGTGAGTGTATCTGAGTGTGACTGTGTGTGTGAGGGTGAGTGTGTGTGTGAGTTTTTGAGGGTATGTGTGTGTGTTTGTGAGGGTACATGAATGTGTGTGTGTGTTTGTGAGGTATCTGAGTGTGTGTGTGTGTTTGTGAGGGTACGTGAGAGTGTGTGTGTGTTTGTGAGGGTATGTGAGTTTGTGAGGGTATGTGTGTGAGTGTGTGTGTTTGTGAGGATATATGAATGTGTGTGTGTTTGTGAGGGTGTGTGTGTGTGTTTGTGAGGATATGTGAATGTGTATGTGAGTTCGTGAGGATGTGTGTGTGAGTGTGTGTGTGAGGGTATGTGAATGTGTGTGTGTGAGTTTGTGAGTGTGTGTGTTTGTGAGAGTGTGTGTGTGAGTTTGTGAGGGTATGTGGGTGTGTGTGTTTGTGAGAGTGTGTGAGTGTGTGTGTTTGTGAGGGTATGTGGGTGTGTGTGTTTGTGAGGGTATGTGAGTGTGTGAGTGTGTGTTTGTGAGGGTATGTGAGTGTGTGAGTGTGAGTTTGTGAGGGTATGTGGGTGTGTGTGTTTGTGAGGGTGTGTGTGTGAGTATCTGAGTGTGAGTGTGTGTGAGTTTGTGAGGGTTAGTGTGTGTGTGAGTTTTTGAGGGTATGTGTGTGTGTGAGTTTGTGAGGGTATGTGGGTGTGTGTGAGTTTGTGATGGTATGTGTGTGTGTTTGTGAGGGTATGTGAGTGTGAGTGTGTGTGAGTTTGTGAGGGTAGTGAACGTGTGGGTGAGTGCTGTCAGGGTGTGGATGGATCAAGGGGCGGGCGCAGTACCTGTGAGACAGCCTCTGGCTGAGGGGAGCAAATTCAGAGTGGAATGAAGTCTCTGGGGGAGTGAGGGCAGAGACCACTGGGGAGGAGGCCTTGAGTGGT